AACTGACCAAGGAGAGATTCAACCTGGAAATAAGGAGGTAATTTCTGACAGGGACAACAATCCACCCACGGAACAGAAGTTGCCTTCAGAAATTGTGGGAGCTTCATCATTGGAGGCTTTCAAGAAGAGACTGACTTGCCATTTGTCAGAAGTGGTGTAGGGTCTCCTGTTTGGATGGAGGGTTGGACTAGATGACCTACAAGGTCCCTTCCAACTCAGTTAATCTGTCTAACGTAGATCTCCAACCTACTTTGCTTCAAGACATCTGGGCTCTATCCTTGGTTGGTTCTGCAGCCTAGAAATACTTTTGTCCCTGCAAGACAAGCCTCCTTTTAAAATAATCCTGGGTTTATTCTGTGCTTTTATTCAAAAGAGGGTTTTGGCTTTGTTTGTTTTCAGCTTATATCTGCTTATTATTTTATTTTTTTACAATGGTTGTAATGTCCTGACATTTGTGTGCTTTGGGTCCAACGCACTATTTACACAGACTTTGAAGAAACATACGTGAGCTGTGAATCCTGGAAATGACCTCATTCTGTATTTTTACAAGGAAACAATTGCATTTGTTTTTTGTGCTCAAAAAGCTGGAAACTGTCATCAAATATTAGCTGTCCCAATAGGTGGAACGGCTGTAACTATTTGCATCTTTTCAAGGGGCACCGATGCGTCCGAGCAGAGAAAACGAAAAGGGTCTTATTTTTAATCCTCAGGAGAACAAAGCAGAGGGTCTTGAATCCTACCTGAATAACAGCAAATGCCAAGGCAGCCCATATAACGTACATCATGATCTCCTGTAGTTTCTTCACCACCAAGACTTTACAACCCTGAAACACAAAGGAGTTGAGGAAACAATTTTTCAAGCTTATTAAGGCTGCATTCTGGAACAGCTACAATCTCCCAACTTTGATATCTTATCTTTCATATCCACATAATTTATAAAATACATTTTATTGTATTTTTGTGTTATGTATGGGGCAGTAGTGACAGTCGTTTCTAACTTTTGTAAAGGTAAATTAAAAAAAAAACATACGTAACTAATATAAAGGGAAAGACGCACACACAACATAAAGAGGAACTAGTAAAATATAATAACCGAGGTAAGACATCTCCTACTGAAATATAACAATTAATAGGAAGCAAATTTAATTACTGCCCTCGTGGCCCAACACAAGGTATAGTAATTATGTGCAAGCACATTATAAGGGCAGCAGGGTGGCCTAGTGGTAAAGATGCTCGCCCCCCCCCCCGCCCACTTGGAAGGTTGAGAGTTCCAATTCTAAGTAGAGGCAGATGTTTCTTTCCTAGGTTGCGAAGAATAGGTATCTGCTGCGAATTCTGCATAGGCATCAGGAAGGGCATCTGGCAGGTAAATGCTGAACTCCATTTCATGGTTCCAACTCTACCCCAAATTAAGGGATTACAAAAATATGTTCAAAATTAAGTCCTCTAAAACAGTGGTCTCCAACTTTGGCAACTTTAAGACCTGTGGACTTCAACTCCGAGAGTTCCTCAGCCAGCAAAGCTGGCTGAGGAACTCTGGGAGTTGAAGTCCACAAGTCTTAAAGTTGCCAAAGTTGGAGACCACTGCTCTAAAAGAATGAAGTCCCATCAGGCCAGAGAGAAGGCATGCCCAACCTATATGCAAATGACTTCCATTTCTAATTAAACAACAGGATTGTTTAATTAACAATCAGCTTGGATGATATATGGGTTATTGTTCTGGATTTAAACGGAGATTTTGATTTGGGCTGATCTTGCACAAACCCCTTAAGTCTCCATCCAACGTAAGCTTTTATCGAAAACCCGGCAAAATGAGACGGCAGTTCACCTCGGAGTAAAGGTCTGCGGGATGCGCTAAGCTCCCCGTGCAATTGCTGAGCGTGGCTTTGCAACAGCTGAGCGGCACGCTGTGGTTTTTCGCTTCTTTGAACCAGGCGGTCGACTCCCAGTCTGTGTAGTTGTGGATCCCACAGCAGTGCAGCTGTAAGAGAGAATCAAGAGCAGCTCTTTAGAAAGCCGGGCAATGCTTTCAGGCGCAACGTAAACCAAAGCACGGATACCCAACCTTTGCAACTTTTTAAGACGTGTTCCGAGGCTTCCCAAGAGCAGGAAGCAAACTCCTTGTCCCTACAAAAAATCATTTTATTAATTTGCTGTGAATTCTGCTCTTTCACCTCCAGCAAAATCTTTCAAGGGAGGATTTACAGTCACAGACCTTATCTGGCTTGGAGAGCTGCCAGGCCGATATCTGCAGAAGGTGGCAAGGAGTCTCATAGAGTCCCGAACCAATTAAGCGAACTAATGGTCTCCTGCAAACTCCACTCCACTTTCGCTCCTCTTTTATTTCCTCTGGGAGGGGCCATTCATCGTCCACCTGTGGCCTTACTCCCAAGTCGACCCCTGTTCTTTAGCTGTTCCCTTCGTCTGGCAACTCTGCTCATGCACACATCGGGAACAGGCTCCAGCTGTTCTTCTGCCTCACTGATATCTACTCTGAAGGCAGCTGTTAACTGTCAGACGGCCCTGGCTCCCTCTCTGCCTCCGACACAGAGCCCTCATCCAAGCCTTCCCCAGACTCCAGGACTGGCCCATGTCTCCTCCCCGCAATCTCCTCATTGTCCGAATCTGCTGGTGGGCCACAACCACCTGTGGACTTCAACTCCCAGAATGCTGTGTTGATTTTAATTTCGTACTTTTAAATGTTTTAAATGTTTTTTATTGTTGTTTTTATTTGCTGTGAGCCGCCCAGAGTCCCTAGGGAGTGGGCGGCATACAAATACCATTAAAGTTTGAAAGTTTCCCCAGCCAGCCAATTAAATAAACAAACACAACCTCCCCCTCAATGCTTGAGGAGGGAGGAGAACTGCATCTCTCTTATTTTCAGTCATCAGCTAATTCTGCCCAAATTCTGCATGTCTTCTCTCTTTTCAAAATGACTCGGGACATTAACAAAGGCTGGTTCCAAACCACAGGTTGCCATCTCATCTGGAAAATGTCAGTTTCCTCCCTCAGCAGCGTTTCTGCAGAGGCTGCCGTTTTCACAGAGGTTGCCCTCCAATCCATTTGGGGAATCCGCATGTGGCAAGGCTTGTTTTATCTCCTCCCCCCACCCTCCCCTCGGAGGTTCTCGCCAAAGAGAGCGAGCCTCTTCGGAGAACCTACAAACAAGCAAGATCTTCCTCCGGGGGAAGAGGAGAGTATACTCTTAATTCCCCAGAGAGTCTTTTGAAAGGGGATTTTTTTAAAAAAATGCATTAAAATCAAATTAAACCAGAAATAAGATGAATAACAACATCTTAATGCATGCAATGCTTCATAAATTTATTCTGTACGGAATAAAGCCCTCGCTTAGAGACTACAATTGGGACAGGCAACTCTGTGGCTGAGCACCATGGTGGCTAGGTGAAAGTCTGGCTTTACAACCTAATTTTTTTCATTTCGTTGTTAAGCGAATCACCTGAGAGACACCACGGGGCCGCAACTTGGGATTTCACTTCTGCTTTCTCCGTTAAGGGCTTGTCGCAAGAAGGTTAGGAAGCATGCCGATGGTGACCGCAGGATATTGTGATGGCTACCAATGCAAAGGGCTGGTTGCAAAACTGTTGCTTCTAACACCATCACAACTTCAAGCGGGTTGTTCAACGAGACTGCAGGGACTACTTGTAGCAGTACACACACCATCAGCTGGCCTCCAGCCCCAAAACCTAGACCCAGTTCTCACTAAGGCCCAGCGCTGGCCCCTTGCTGCTTCAGGCTAGAGCCAAGAAGAGCATTTTATGGGGTGAAATGCAAAGAACCGGCTCGAAGTGCGAAGAGAAATGGTCGGGTTTCCTGAGGGCAGAAAAGGAAGGAAGCTCCCTTACATCATCCTACTTAGTAGCTGTTGGGTGCCTGCAGAAGATCCTGTGCTGGTGGAAAACGGTCTGTGCACATTTGGCACCAACAGCTGTGTTTGTATTGGCTCTCACCTGCCTCTGCACGTAATCAATCGCCCGGCTGGCAGCATCCGGGTTGGTGCCATTGTATGCGTCGTACACTTTCTTGATGCTGTGATCCACTTCGGCCTCCACCTGGTAGAACAAACACAGCTTAACATTTCTCTCTGTTGACAGGAGGAGCCTGATGACCCAGCCAGCCGGCCAACCAAATGGCCCAGTGTTTTGCAGAAATGCTCTGTGTGTGTGTCTATAGGGCTCCTAGAATGCTATCCTTTGTAGTTGGTTGACTCAGCCTCCCGCCCTTCCGAGGTGCGTAAAATGAGGACCCAGATTGTTGGGGGGCAAGAGGCTGACTCTGTAAACTGCTTAGAGAGAGTGGTATATAAGTCTGCTATTGCTTCTTTCTTTCTTTCTTTCTTTCTTTCTTTCTTTCTTTCTTTCTTTCTTTCTTTCTTTCTTTCTTTCCCTCCCTCCCAGTAGTTAGAATACAGCATTACAGGCTAACTCTGCCCACTGCCAGCAGTTCAATTCTCACCAGGCTCAAGATTGACTCAGCCTCCCACCCTTCCAAGGTGGGTAAAGTGAGGACCAGATTGTTGGGGGGCAAGAGGCTGATTCTGTAAACTGCTTAGAGAGAGTGGTATATAAGTCTGCTATTGCTATTTTCTTTCTTTCTTTCTTTCTTTCTTTCTTTCTTTCTTTCTTTCTTTCTTTCTTTCTTTTCTTTCTTTCCTTCCTTCCTCTTTCTTTTTTTCTTTCCCTCCCTCCCAGTAGTTAGAATGCAGCATTACAGGCTAACTCTGCCCACTGCCAGCAGTTCAATTCTCACCAGGCTCAAGGTTGACTCAGCCTTCCCTCCTTCCAAGGTGGGTAAAATGAGGACCCAGATTGTTGGGGGGCAAGAGGCTGACTCTGTAAACTGCTTAGAAGGCTGGGAAGCACTGTGAAAAGTGGTATATAAATCCAAGGGCTATTGCTATTTGTCTTCTTGAGATCTTCTCACCAAGGTCTGTTTTCTGTATCCCTCAATTGCCTAGAGCAGTGTTTCTCAACCGTAGCAACTTGGAAGATGCCTGGACTTCAACTCTCAGAATTCCCCAGCCAGCTGGCTGGGGAATTCTGAGAGTTGAAGTCCAGACATCTTCAAGTTGCTACGGTTGAGAAACACTGCTCTATGGGGACAAATGAGTTGAACCCTGGATATTTTCTCCTATCCATATTGCTAAATTTCTGAAGCTGGTCAAAGTCTCTTATGTTCCACACCCTTACAAAGAGCAAAGGATTTACTTCAGAGCTTTAACAAATGTTTTCTGCAGGACTTTGAGACCTTTAAAAAAAAGGGGGTGGGGAAGGAAAATCTGTATTTTAAACCCTCCTGTAAAGCATTCCATCGCTTGGTTTACATTATTTTACTCTGAGGATTTGGATGACTTCTGAAGAGGGATGTTGCTTTTGATTTCACCCAATAATTTCTCACAATTTTGCTTCGGAGAACTACAGCTGGTATCAAACTTTGAATAAAGCTACCAGAGACAAATTCCTTGTGTGTCCAATCACACTTGGCCAATAAATAAATAATTCTATTCTATTCTATTCCATTCTATATTCTATTTTCTATTCTATATTCTATTCTATATTGCATTCCATTCTGCATTATATTCTATTGTTTTCTATTCAATTCTATATTCTATTGTCATTCCATAGTCTATTATATTCTCTATTCTATATTGCATTCCATTCTGCATTCTAGAGCCGAGGTGGCGCAGTGGTTAGGGTGCAGTACTGCAGGCCACTTCAGCTGACTGTTATCTGCAGCTCGGCGGTTCTAATCTCACCAGCTCAAGGTTGACTCAGCCTTCCATCCTTCCGAGGTGGGTAAAATGAGGACCCAGACTGTGGGGGCGATATGCTGACTCTGTAAACCGCTTAGAGAGGGCTGAAAGCCCTATGAAGCGGTATATAAGTCTAACTGCTATTGCTATTGCTATTGCTCTCTCTCTCTCTCTCTCTCTC